TGAAGGCGATGCTGTCGGTGTCGGAGAAAAATGGTTAAAAGGTTGTAAATTTTTTGCAACCACTGAATCGCTGCTGACTTTAACACCGTTTTCCATATCTCTTTAAGGTCAAATTTTGCAAGACATATTTCTCAGTTCTTAGGTTTTTTTTCTTTATCAGAGTAGATCCTATGCGAGAGAGAAATTTATGGGTTTTAACCAAGGCTAAGGTTGATTTTGAAAATTATCATGTCGCCATTATTGGCCTTTGCCTTTTGCTTTTGGAAAAAAATAGTTGATTTTAACGTGTTTTGGATGATTAATTGCAGCACTCATGATGAGATGATCGTTATGGTATTATGTTAAATCTTTTTTATGGATTATTTTTGATTGATTTCTAGTAGTTTTATTGGATTTTTCTAGATATTATAGTATAATCTTTTATATTGAATTTTTTATGTGCATGAATAACTGTTGACGCATGCTGATTTTGATTACTCATTGTGCTACATATTCTTTTTTTTGGTTGTTTATGTGCTTCATTAAATTTTATTTTTCATCCTATGTTACATTTTCTTTGGCAAAAGTATAGTTTTCATCCATACAAGAGAGAAGTTGTCTGCAAGTATGTAAATTTTGTGAATTTTGCAAAAATTAGTATCTTTTAATATTTATTGCCTTTTAAGAATACTGCTTTATTTCTTTTTTGATATCTGTAACTTGCATATGAAAAGTTTGAGCTTCTCAATCTCAGTTTTGTCTTGATAATTCAAAGTTTGATTTGTTTCCAACCTTTGCTTGAGAACAGATCATTCTCGATTCTTTAACAACATTATCCATGAACTCTTTTTAATGAGTTTTGGATTAATTGTTCTTTCGTTTCCACCATTCTTTGGTTTCTTATTCTTGTTTGGGTTATTGACTATGCATTCGACATTTAACTCTTCTCCTTCAAGTTTGAAACCATCTCTTCTCATTCTCCTTCAAAATTCATTGAGTTCTTGTGTGTTCTTATCTTAGATTTAAAATCTCTTATTCCATTTGGGATTTTTAAATCTTATTATTCTGTTTAGGTAAATTTACAGAAGTTTCAGTTGGTATTTGGCTATTTATAGTTAGTGGTTTCCAGCTCTTGGGTGGTTCGATCAATTTCAGTTCTGCATTTCAGGGTCAGATTTGGACGACACCTGCTTAGGTGTTTAGTTCATATTTTTGTGGATTGCAAGGAGTTAGCTTCAGCTGATCCGGTTTGGGGTTGTGAAGCTTTGACCTTTCCCTAATAAATAAGTTTACTTGCATATAGTAATTTGAGGTTTAAGATTTGGTTGAATATCAAATGAAATATACTTTCTCCTTAGCAATGATAATATCGGCTATTAAATTTCATATTTTACGACATTAATTCTACTACAGAAAAAATTAGAAGAACTAGATAACTTGTTTAATATTTCTAGTTTTTATATTTGTCATTATGTGTTTTACTACAATCAGTTGTAATATTTGTAAATATTTTATAATTTACAGTGCTATGAAGAAGATTCTTCAAGTTGACGCTACGATTACGACGAGATTCAGATTGCAAATAGTGCGAAATGTTTATGAGAAGCTCGATACAAATTAGAAAAACAAGCTTAACGAGAGTTGCTTCGGATCTCTCCTTAGGTTGAAGGATATAAGTTTGGCTTCGCAAGTTGTACATCAATTATTATTGCGAAAGATAAAGTTTGTAAATATTTTATAATTTACAGTGCTATGAAGAAGATTCTTCAAGTTGACGCTACGATTACGACGAGATTCAGATTGCAAATAGTGCGAAATGTTTATGAGAAGCTCGATACAAATTAGAAAAACAAGCTTAACGAGAGTTGCTTCGGATCTCTCCTTAGGTTGAAGGATATAAGTTTGGCTTCGCAAGTTGTACATCAATTATTATTGCGAAAGATAAAAACCAACAAAAAAAAGTTTGGTTTAAGATAGGAGAGAAACGAGCAAGATTTGGGTTGGAATATTTTGTTTTAGTTATGGCTTAAATGCAGGTGATAACGTAGATAAGACCTTAGGGGCGAAGTGTCAAATCGTGAAAGAGTATTTTAAGAAAAGTGGGAGAAGATTATGAAGGGAGATGCTCACAATGCATTTGTAAGTTGCAAGAAAAGAATGAGCGACAAGTATAAGTTTGGATTGATCGTAATCTTGGTGTATGTACTGTGGACCATGTAGGAAAATACCTACATCGATTTATGGTGGATGGACCTAGTGGATGATCTCGACAAGTTCGAGATGTATCCATGGGGAAAGCTTTCTTTTGAATGCACGATCAGTATATTCAAACATGAAATAGGAAATAAATTGAAAATTTTGGATGTCGAAGGTGAGTCAAATTGTTGGTATTTCATTGCACGACTTTCTCCTCGCTATAATGGTATGAACAAACAATACACTTGACTTGTATTGTTTTTTTTATATACCAATTTGTGTCTTGAGATAATAATGTTTGTTTTGTAATAGATTTGGGCATTCGAAGCAATTCCAACTTTGGGAATGAAGTTCACTATGAAATATCTAGATGCAATTCCAAGAATGGCTAGTTGGGAAATGCCGAAGAGGTTAGCGTCTACCACCATTGATATTGTGTTGAAATCGAAAGAGGTAAATTTATGTTTTTTAAAGTTTAATGGGGACAAATTATGGAATTAGATTAGTGGATGACTAATGATTTGCAGATTTAATATTTACAGTTGGAGGTTAATTCCACATTGATTCTTACTGAAGCCGAACTGGAAGAGGCCTATTGGAAAGAGTTAACACCGATTGTGGAAGAAGATGAGAGTGCTTCACACCATTTCGAATGAGACGAGGCTAAGCATGATGTCGAGCCAAATCATGCAAACCACGAAGAGTATCCTAGAGCAGCTCAACCACCACAGCCTGATTTTGAGATGAACATAGCGAATTTATGGAAACGGAAATGGAAGAACTTGAGGGAAGGCTACAAGTAGTCATATTGACTCGAATTGATCGGGTGGAGAAAAAAGGTTGACAGGTTAGTTGAATTGAATGTGGTGGGTCGGTTCCATCCAGCGACTAATGCATTCGATGGTGACCATTACACTTTCGAACTTCGAAAATAGGACTTTCTGTGATTTTGGTTGCTCGCAAGCACTACTTACAATTTTCATCAATACAAACAATTGTATACGTGCTCTTATCCGACTTCTTAACTTTGTATTCGAAGTGAAATTTCACAACCAGCAATTGCATTTTTTATATTAAGTCATATTTTGATGCAAAAAACTAGTTCACTTGCACATCTTTATTTTTTGGAATTCATACTGATTGCCCACAATGGAAGAACTTGTATTTGCAGATACAATCCGACTACATTCAACATCATTATCATTCGCTACATTCCGACTATAAGGTTCATCCATGGGTAACTTCACATCATTATCATCTGCAATAGGAAAATTATCGTCGTTATCAACTTTTCCAAGACTATCTTCACTTACATCAAAATCATTACAATCGACAAATATTCAATCACCATTGTCATGGTTATCTTCGTCATCAGTTTGAACATGTTTATTCTCGTTGTTCATATTTGCAATTTGTCCTCCACCCTCTATTAGTAATAAACATCCTTCATCACCAAAATCTTTTTTCATTTTCAACTTTATTCGAAAGGGTTACACAACAAAAAGTTTCTTTACGGATAGATAGAAACCATTTCACATTGTTGTCCCAATTAATTATGGTTGGAGCAGTTGGAACTTTAGTCATTATAGGGCCAAGAGCTGAAATCTCCATTTTTCATAGCCTTGTATCGACGTACAACACCTCTTTGACTTTATCATATAATTTCATATAAGAAATAGTTTTCGCAATAAAAATAGGAATTGTTTTTCCTTTGCCATTCCCTACACATTTTCATTTCTACACACCTTCAACCGACTGCTCATATTCAACTGAATAACAAACTAATATCCATACCATTCGCAGTGTCCATAATTGTAATCCAATGTAAAAATTTCATCAAATTTCAAACATTGTACAGTATTAATAACGATATGTAAGTCCTTACGGATTGTAGAAAATGACACGTAAGTCGTTGTGTACAAACGAAAATCAAATGTGTGTTTTACAATAGACCAATAAAAAAAAATAGTGAAACATGCATTTGCCAACTTACATTTCACTCTAACTGATACAAATAACGGTAATTAAAAAAGGATTGGGAAGTAACCCACTTCAAAACTCTAATCCAATGTTAAAAATGAATTCAAAATCATTGTTCACAAATAAACACCATAACCATATATACAACAATATGAAGAAATTATTCAAAAAATGGACAAAGAAAGTAATCCAAAAATTGAAAATTTATAACACAATCTTCTTTTCCAAATGCCCAATAATAATATTGTAAGATTTTATTAATCACTTTCAACCAAATGAGCGTTCAATGGAAAGGGAATGTAGAGTTTATGGTTTCATTAAGTATAAAAAAATGATGATGAGAAAGAAATGAATTGCATAACTCTAAAGTCGGTTTTTGAAGAGAAATGGAAGCTAGAATCAATTTAATTAGGGTTAAATGGAAATTGAAATGGAAATTAGGGCAATAATGTCTTTTTGTATGTAAGGACATTTTAGTCATTTACAAATTAAATTTTACATTTTCCATATCTTTAGGCCTTCTACCTAAAGAATATAGTTTGTGAACTTTTTAAACTAATGTTTTGTTTGACTAGGCTCTGTAAATGAAAGCCCTATATTTTTGTGGATCTCTTAACTATTTTCAAGAAACCATTTCCAAATTTTCCTTGGAGACCTATGTCATCTAAATTTCCAACTGAAATTAAGTTTCTATTCAAATCTGGTACACACCTTACCCTTTTCAAGATAAAGGTGTACCCATTGTCAAATTTTAAAGTTACACTGCCTATCCCCAGCACTCTGTAGGCTGCATTATTGCCCACGACTACCTCACCTCCATCAATGTCTTTAAAGTCTACTAACCAATGTCTTCTAGAGGTCATATGAAAAATGCAACCTGAATCTAAAATCCATTCTACACTCTGACACGAATTGTCTACATAATTTGTAGTATTCAAATCAGATATGGACTCGGTCACAACATAGACATCTACAGTCTCATCACCTAGAGTCTCAATTACATTACCATAATCTATTTCAACCTCTTTCTGTTCATTTTTCATTTTAAAACAATCTTTAATTTAGTGTCCAGCCCTACCACACCCATAGCACTTCCAATTCCAATTTTTCCCTGATTGTTTTTGTTATCCTGGTTATTACTTTGTCTGGTTAGTGACCTACCTCTTACAAATAGGTTCTCACTTTCCTTGCCATATTTCTCAGTTTTAACTTCCAGTTCTTTATTTCTTAAAGCATTAATAACTATCTCTGGGGTTAAAGACTCTCTACCATACTTAAT